TATGGAAATTTTCTAGCAAGAAGCTTGAGCTGAGGTTGGAAAATTCCACTCTTCCCAGGGCTGTTCCTCTGTATTTCTCTCACGGAAGGGAGGCCATGAACGTCTGGCTACGTTTGACCCTGAAGAACGGCTGTTCTGAATCCATTTGCCTTTAAAGAGGTCTTTTAAGGGTTCCTCCTGTCCAGCCCTTGACAGGTTTTCTACAGAAAACACATATATAAAGCAATTAAAAGGACAGGGATGGCCGCTGTGGTTAAAGAAGTATTTCACTCCCCCTCTTGAAACTAGAGAACCGTGAATTTTTTTTTTAAGAGGCCAGTGTGGTGGGTGGGAGATAACATTATACAGGTTGTCCTTGACTTACGACCCCAATTGGGAATGGAATATCCATTGCTAAGCAATGCGGAGGTAAAGCAAGACATCGTGTGACCGCATCGCTTAGTGATCGCAGTCCCGGCAGTCCTGGTTGCCCTCATTAACCAAGAATCATGGGCCATTAAGCGAGTATCCGCCCCGATCCAAGCCGTTCCGGGCTTGGTTCCTCCCAACCTTGAGCCTGAGTAAGGTAAGGGACTGTCTCCAACTGCCCCCACCTGCCTATCTCCCCTTCACCTCTGCTCTTCTGGCCACCCTGCCCCCTGCCGTGTGGGGCGGCAAGCATCCCTGGAACCACATGGCTCTGGGGCTGCTTGCCACGCCCTGGGAAGCGGCAGCCGCCCCAGCCCAGCCCCAGCTGCCCTGGTCTCGCCAAGACCCCTGCTGCCCTGGGCTCTGGCGCCCCGGCTGACCTTCACTGTCTTCTTGCTCCCACTGCTGGTGAGGTGTGCCCAGCCTGCCTGCTGGGCCAGGATGGGCTGGGGTTTGGCTGCCCCCCAGAAAAGAAAAAGAGTCAAAAGCAGCCCCTGAGCTGCTGTGTGCCAAAGCGCCCTTTGCGCCACGCTCCTGGGCTGGGTGGGGCTTTTGACCCCACCCAGCCCAGGAGTGTGGCGCAAAGGGGCGTTTTGGCATGCTGTGCTCCAAGAGCTTTTTGCTAAGGGCCTTTTGGGGTGCTGCAGTTCTGGGGATCCTTTTGACTTTTTCTTTTTTTCGCAGCCAAAGCCCGGCCCAGCCCAGCAGCCAGGCCGGACATGCCTCATCAGCAACTGGAGCAAGAGACAGCAAAGGTCAACTGGGGTGGCAGAGCGCAGGGCGGCAGGGGGCAGAAGGGCATAGATGGGGGGAGATAGGTGGGGGGAGTTTAAATGCTCCTGCAGGCTGCCAAGTGCCTGAATTTTGATCACGTGAATGCGGGGGCACTGCGACGGCCATTATTTCAGGCACCGGTTGTAAGTCACTTTTTCCAGTGTGTTTGTAACTTCGAACAGTCACTAAATGAATGGTTGTAAGTTGAGGACTACCTGTACTCATGCGAGGTCAAGAACTTGTGCTTAATTGTACTTTTATTTCTCCCCTACTTCTTAAGATAGTGATGTTCTGGGGAAAACTCAGGTGTAATATAGCCCTGCAAGTCCCAGGAGACATTTCAGCAGAGAGGGACTTAGGAGAGGAGCAGAGAGACAAAACAGAGGCTGTGAGAATGTGCAGACTAAAACTGTTATGCAAGAAAAGGGTTTTAAGACACGATTTCTCCCTGGGATCTCTGTCAAGAGTCCTCTAAGAAGAAACATCATGCCAGCTTGGATTTTCTTGGAAAGGAGGTCTCATGTACACATATTATGGTTTTATGTATATTTGCAATTATGCAAGTTGATCCTAAGAGGGGAACAGATAAAGCACTCCAATGGATCACCAAAATCCACTGCTCCGTGCCGAGTCTGCTGAATATGGGGCAGCCACCAACCTCAGGTGCTTGGGCTCCTGGTTTGCTTTGTCAAATGGTACCACGTTCTTTAGTCATAAAGACATAATTACCTAATCTTTTTCTGGGAAGTTGAGGGAGTGGGGAAGACTCACCCTTTTTATGATCAGTTTTGCTGTGTTTCTAAATCTTCTAGGGTTTCTAAATCTTGCATCAAGAAGCAACTTCTTACCTGTTCCGTTCCTATGGCAACACATAACTGGGCTTCTAACAGAATCCAGATCTCTGTCCAGACATTAACTCCGAGTAACCTTTCCAAACCAGGCCTCCTCTCAGTGCATTAAATGAAAGTCTCATTACCTCCAATCAACTGGCAGAGGATGATGGGTTTGTGGAGAAGTTATCAGGAAAGGGGAAGACTGGGGAAGACTCATACAGAGGGTGGGGATTTAAGAGGAGGTAGCAACAGGGCCCAGGTTTTGGACTGATATATTAATCGCTGCTTAAATGTTTGCAAACCCAAAACTCATTTTGGTATGCGTGGCTTGCATAGGGAATTCTTTGAAAAAGCAAAATTTATGTTTGTGTGTGACAGATTTTCTTTCTTTTATTCATTATTCACTAGGGAAGGGATTAAACAAAAAGTAAAAAGTAAAAGTGCCAGATATTATATAGGCATAGAGATGTCATTTTGAAATGACTGTGTTGGGCCAAAGCTTAATGACACTTCAATTGATTTCCCACACATCAATAAACCACAGGAGGAACTGGACCCAGCCAATTGTACTTTGTTCAGTAAGTTATGGTTACAACAACTATGTGGTGTATTAACTAGCTTTGGGAAAGAATACAGATAATCCTTGTTTAATGACTGCCCTGTTTAGCATTCGTTTGAAGTTATGACGGCACTGCAAAAGGAACTTTATGACTGGTCCTTGCACTTATGACTGTCGCAGTGTCCCCATGGTCACATGATTGAGATTCAGGTACTTGGCAACCAGTAGGCATTTACAAACGTCACAGCATCCTGTGGTCATGTGATTGCCATTTGCGAGCGTCACTGCTGGCTTCTGACAAGCAGATTCGATGGAGAAGCGAGCAGCAAAATCACAAGTCATAGTGATGTGATGTCTCGCTTAGCAATGGAATTTCAAACTTGGCAACTTTAAGATGTATAGACTTCAATTCCTAGAATTCCCTAGCCAGAAACCCAAGAAAGAGAAGGCAGAAGATGGGAAGGAGGAGGAGCTGGGACAAGAACATGTCATTATCCGTCTAGCTCCTGCTACAATTGCTTCCTTTTTCCTCCCTGCTCTCATATTTCCCCCCTCCCCTGCATATTATTATTCATCTAAAATCCATTTTGTCAGGAAAAAAGCGCCATATTGAATGCTTTATGGCCACAGATAAAATGGTGGATGTGTAATCCAAGGGCCCTTTCTGGATGGACATGCGTGCATGGATGCAGAATTGCAGGCAGCCTCATCTGAGGTGATTTTACTCCATACTAATTCACGTTGCAGTTTCAGTCCAGGTTCTTTGAGTGGGTGGGTCTTTATTACTGTATTAGAACTATATTATTGAACTGCCAGGAGAAATGTTGTATCGTCATGTTCAGTCACATATTGCTGTCTCCTCAGCTGCTTTATTAACATATATAGCCTCTTACGTTAGTTTAAAGCAATATTGAGTTTATTTGTCCTTATTGTAGCTTGGGGGAAAAAATGGGGGAGGTGTAAATAGTTTTTGCAGTGAAACCACTGTCATTTATCTCAACATAAGCATAACATTTAGATGATTCTAAAATCCTTTTTAAGAACCCTCTTAAGTGAGTTTTACCTTCAGTAGCTCCTTGACTGCAGCTGGAGTGAGAGGTGCATTCTACACCTGATCAAGTATCCTTGAATCAATGCAATGACTGCAACTTAATGTCAACATACTTTTATTTATTTATGTTTAACATTTGATTAAATCTGGGCAGTTTACACGTTAAAAAGCAAATAATAATAAAGCATGCACGTCCAGAAGAAACAAACACATCGCACTAAAGTAAAACCAACCAGAAGTCAACAACCACATTACTGCTCATAATGAATGAGAACAGTTGGGTAGAGATTATATCTTGGGTGGGTCCTGATCCTTCAGTGCTAGTTCCCATGGGGTCTCATAGACCTTTGCCATTTTCTAAAGGCATTGATCAAAATAATAAATGGGTAAATTCAGGAGCAGACAATCGTATGGCTGGGAAAGAAACGGGTCCCAGAGAGCCACAGGGAGAATAGTAAGGATACAGTGATGTCAGAAATTTGAAGGGAGTTGGGATTGGGGAGGATTAACACAAGATAAAAGTTTTAAACCTAACTTAGTTGTTCCCACCCTCTATTTTGTTGTTTTCATGATGTGCATGAAATATTGCATAACTAAAACTGAGAGTCATAGGAGGGTCACCAGCAGCCAGAATGGGTCTAGGGGTTACACAGATTGTTGGCCGTGTTCCCTGGATCAGCACATTATTGTAGCCTCCTTAACAATATAAAATAACTGTTGTGCTGTTAAGCTGCAGATGTTACCACCTTCAGGAATATCTCTGGGACATTTGTACTGCAATCTGACTGATACACATTTGTTCAAAAATAAACTCTATTGAATTCCCTGGTATTTCTCCCTGGTAACTGTATAAAGCATTATAACCTGAGACACCAGTGTTTCATTGTCTCTCCACAATTAAATGGGGAATTAATTGGCCTCGATGCTTTTTTAAATAAAATCTTCCAATGTAGGTTTGCTTTTCTAATGAAAAGTAAGCGAAGTCTCCTTCAAGTTGAGTTCAATTCCTGGTGACTACGTGAACACGTTGGTGTGTTTTCTTGCCAACAGTGCAGAAGTGGTTGGCACTGCCTTCTTTAAGAATGTTTTCTTAACTTCTCGGTATATCCTACAGCCCTGGGAAATCCTGGTGGTCTCCCTTCCAGGTAGCCCTGACCCTGCTTAGCTTTTTCATGATCAGCCAAGGTCACGTTTGTATTGCCACTTGCTCTGTTGAAATGCCTCGAAGCATTTGGCTCTCTTCATGGAGGAGAATATGAGCTGACCCACTTCATATTCCGTTTTTCTCACATTTGGGGGTAAGTTAGACTTTTGGGTTCTTTTCATTCCATAAAGACGACAGCCATGTTTATTATATTTTTCTCTTCTTTCCAAGGAATAACCACCGTGTTGACCATGACGACTCTGAGCATCAGCGCCAGGCACTCCTTGCCTAAAGTTTCCTATGCCACCGCCATGGATTGGTTCATCGCGGTGTGCTTTGCCTTTGTGTTCTCTGCACTGATTGAATTTGCAGCTGTCAACTATTTCACGAACATCCAGATGGAAAGAGCCAAGAGGAAGGGGGTGAAATCTGTCCCTGAATGTTCAGCAGCACCTGTGCAGAGGGAAACTCACACAGAGGAGACCTCCACGGTAATACGCGTGATGAAGGATGGTTGGAGAGATGGGTCAGAGCTCAGCTGGGTGGCCGGGTGCCAGGCTCAGTTTGCCACGCGGGGCGGCTTTACCTTAAGTGGACCCCTTTTGGAACATCAGGGGCTACACGGACCAGTTTTTGAGGGTCTGAGAGTTCAGGGTGGCAGGACCTCACATCATTTGTGTAGATGGGGCTTGGTTTGGAAAAGTGTCTTTGCTTTTTAAAGCTGTATAGGCCTATTTGAGGCCTTTAAGACAATTCTCATCTGTTCCCTGGTTAAAAATGGGAGAAAGTTGTGATGTCAGGATCCAGCAGTCATGGTGAGAGGGGTTCTGGGTGACCCAAAAGTGGACTTTGTACTCTTGGGCCCATAGACTGCTGACTCCAGCTTTACCCTCCCTCCTGTCCTGGTTTATTATTTGTATTTCTAAGGATGGTCACCTTTTTGATGACTCTGGACAGCATACAGAATTAAAATCAAAGATACCAAACATCAAAGAGAACAAAAAAGAATAGTGATCCCAGTGGAAAAAAAAAATTCACTGAAAAGCCTGTAAAACCCCTCAGAGAGGGAGTCGCCTGAACTCTGGAGAAAGAGTGAGGTCTTCAAGGCTCACATATTGGGGACCAGGGTTAGGGCCATTTCAATCTTGGGGAGTGGGGAGGACAGAGAAGATCCGCCTCCTGTCAGTGAATGCCATTGCTTAATGGATGGTCTCTGTCTGATCTTACAGGATGGGTAATAACTGCATGAAAGAGACAGTCCCTCAGATAATTAGAGCATTTGCCATATATGGCTTTGTAGGTGATAACCAACATCTTGAATTGCACACAGAGGCCTACTAGTAACCAGTGCAGCTCGTGTAACAAAGGTGTACACTGGCAGCCCCATAACTGCTCAAGCTGCTGCTACATTCTGTTATAATTTTTTTCCAATAATTTTATTAAAGATTATACAGAACAAATAAAACTAATACAAAAAACCTAATACAAAATCACATTAAAAATAATATAAGAACGTGCAGAGAAGAGAGAGAAGAAAATCCCCCCAAATAAAAATGAAAAGAAGAAACTTCCCCCTTCATCCCCAGCAAC